TAATTAATATTGTGAATGTGAAACAAAATTATGCTGCGATAGTAAAAGATAATGTTAAATAATCGGTATCTGCCACAACCTTTCATTATGTTTGAGTGTAGATAGTACAAACCTGAAAAGCGCCTGATTTTAGTGAAATCATAAATTTAAAAATCAATGCACTAGAGCACATCCACGGTGGGCTAGTATAAGTCCTGCAAAGACCAGGATTTAAATAGGCTTGACTAGCTATCGCCATATATTTAGATTGGATAAAAACATAAAACATTTATCAGAGGGCAGATTCATTCGCGGTGGTGCGTCCTGATTGAGCCATGCAGGCTTGGTGGCGGGCGCGGCGCGGGCGGCACATGTCATTAAATTCTTGGCTTGTCGCCGGCACGCGCCGCTAACGAGTTTCTTGCTAACGATGCGCTAACTTGATACACCGACACCGCTCTCATGCTAATTTCACACGAAGGCAACAGTGACCTAGAGCAGTAGGGAGTGAAGTACTACTTGCAATGCAAGGCATGCTTTAGGTTTTGCATGAAATTTTTAACCTGCATAATCTAAAACTATACTGTTTGAGACAATGATGGCAAGATTAATACATTATGCTAAACTTAACGTACCTACTGCCTACTGCTCTGCAACACAATGTTGTCTTCGTGTGAAGCAAGCATCACTCCGAACTCGCATTGTTATAAACACCGCTAAAAATACATCCCATATGCGGTTTACCTATACCACATGTGAGACCTAGATTTAAGGGAATTTTAATTGTCCGGTTTTTTATTTTGATTTTGTACTGAACCCAAAAGGTTCTCTGTCACTATGAAGTTTTGGGGTTTAAAATATGTATTTAAAAATTGGAATTCAATTAGACATACATATGTCCAACACCTATCAAATCTAACAGTACTTCTATGTCAAATAAAATTTAACGACTTTGATAAAAATAATTACTTAAACGCTTCTGCTTACAATTAGAAAAAAAGCAATGCAATTAAAAATGTTTTTTTATAAACGTTTGCCTTAGTATACAAATTAAGATATAGAAAAGACACGTCGAAAGATATTGAAAGGTCGCTATCAGAATACAGTTCAAATAACCCGCAAACAGACAATTCGTATGTTAAAATATACAAACATGAGTCAATGCCCCCTATATGTCAAATATATTTCTAATACGACTTGTTATCACATCTATTCGCCCATTCTTAGTATGTTTTCCATTAAAAAATGAAGAAAACTATAAAGATTTGATCGAGTTGCCGAAGGCCGACACGTTGGGCCAGTTCATTTAATTTATGCAAATAAAAAAACGAGCAATGGTCAGTTGAATTAATATTCAATAATGATATCGATTTAGAATGAAATATGCTTGACTTTAATGATGATATCATTAAAAACGTCAATTTTGAAGATAAACATGTGTCTTTTAATAGTGGCTTAATTTATTTTATGTTGTTTATACAATATATCTTGTTACGCAAATATTGATACAAGATATGTAGCGCTTTCTACCATTATAAATAATTGATTAAATATATGTTATAGTTTCTAAAAATGTACAAAGCATTTAGTACTAAATCTTAGTAATAGTAAATATCAAATACACCGTCTCTCGAACATTCTTATTCAGAAACGTTCAAATATATTACACCTTTTCCTTTTTGTCTAGTATTGTATCTGATAATTATATATCGAGGTATACAATAGCATATTAAACCTTTTAAATACACTAATATATAAATTGAATAATTTATGACATAATTATAAACCATTACGAAGCTATAAATTATCCGATTCGATCAAGATCGTTACAATTTATAGAGTCCGCTATGAATTGAAGGCTTTTATAAAAATATTCTAATCTATAGATTATAAACTAATTTATACATCTAATTTATTTAGCGATACATGATTATCTCAACTTCTTAAGGCCTAATCTAACTTATTTAAATCCGAAATCATAAATACTCTTAAGCTATCTCGGTGCTATATGCCATGATCAGCTTATTTCTTATTGGAGAGAAATATTAGTTTAAATAACCTTTACTAATTAGATTTATCGCCTAAACCAAGTTGTGCGAGTGCTAGTAAATAAAATTACGATAACGAGGTCAGAATTCCTCGCATCTTCAGCAGTGCGGGCCCAGCGGCGGCGCAACAAGTTACACATCTCGCGCCCGGACGCCGCGGAGGCTTTATTGAAAGCGATTCGTCTCCGATCACCTCCCCCTACCCCTCCACCTCTCCTCCACCCACACCACGTTCCCATACTTCATCGAACCACTTAATACTTTTCAGGCAATTTTCATATTAGCGCATTTTATCACTGCGATATTAGTTCGCGTAAAGTTTCTTAAAGGATTTCGCTCCGACACAAGCAAGTTTCATTTTATTAAGTGGATAAGTAATACTTTATACAGTGTATTTAGGTATAAAGTTTATTTAAAATATCGTGCTTTATAAGGATTAATATCTTTTATTGGTAACCAAACTGCTACAGTTATGTATTTTTGTTGAACTCAGCAAAATTTTGCATAATTTCACTTCCCTCATCTCAAAGGTGACGTTTTATATATTATCTTAGCATAAGATGACTATCTCGATTTTAGGTTGTTGATCTTTCCTTCTGTAGAACTCAAATATGTTAATCGTTTATTGTAGTCGTAAATAAATGTTTTATCATGTTTAGTATCTATGTTCGCTAGTTCTCACAATCCATTAACACAAATGAGGTGGTAAGATGTTAACAATATGTGTCTGAATATATTCCTCAATTAACTCAGACTGTGAGCCAATAGATTTTAATGTGATAAATATTTTATAACCCACGACTAAAGATGATTGTCTTAAGCTACTGAAGAAGGTGATAAACATTTGCTCAATTTCGTTAAGCCTCTGTCGATTGCGCTTTCAGTATTCACATAAAGTATTAAAAAGATTTGTTCATATATGTAAAGATGTAGGGTAAAGTGTCCTGTCCCCCATCCCTCCCACATTCAGCCTCCCTCCACTAATGATCTCGCCGGGAGATTTTAAATTATGTTCCTTACAACAATCAACACATACAACGCCGGGACTCGAGACACTCACGTAATGAATAAAATAACATGTCAAGATACAGACTTCATCTTAAATTAATGAGGATCCGCGACGTATTCAATTTTACACGGAACGAACGCAAATAAACTTTGGCCAGCTTGTACTATACTCCACCTACATGTCTGGAGCAAACTTCCTCACTTATCGAATTCTCAAAACACATATCTCGTTAATTAATATCACTGAAAGGAAACCTAAAAGTTATTCCCGATTACAAATTGTATTCAACTTTGACATATGAAAATTACAAATCCGAATGAAAGGTACAAAACTAAGGCCTTTTATCAGTTTCAAGTACACCGAGGGCCCGTAAAGTTTGTTAATCTTATGAGATTTTACGGACGGCTGAAGTAAAATCCTTACCGAAGTTATATTACAACATATGTGTATTAATGTTACTTTATGTATTCCATAATGTATTCCTAACTTAATTTTAATTCAAACTTTTTAATTAAAAAAAACTCTTGCCTAGGTATTCCTTAACATTTTATGGTGCTAAAGGAGAGTGATTTTGGCAAAATATCAGAATATAGATATAGTGATCTTAAATTCGTCATATTTTTATCTATCACAAGAGAATGTCGCGGCGTGTATCGGCGCGGCGGCGGCGGTGGCTCCGCGCGTCCAACACAAATAGATCCGTACATGTTTGTCTTGGCTCGGTTTAATTAATTTTACCTTCATACACCGATACCTACTGTTTGTCGGGCGCTCCTTAATTGAAAACGCTCTTACTGGATGGAGTAAATGAAACGAAATCCCATTTGCTGCGAGTGATTGAAGTGAATTTATCTTTTAAGACTTTCAAATTTATCTTCGAACCTTTACCGGTGCTCGTTTGAAATTATCGTAAAGCGAATAAAGCAAAGAAGCGCAGGTTATTAAATTTTGATTGCTTTTGCGGGATTGTTGTTGTGATTTATTAATATTCAACGGGTTGTAAATAACGCTGCGCCGGCTCGCGACGCTAATAGCTGTGGTAATAATAACTCATTAATTATTTAATTAGTCTATTAATCGTTTATAACCGCAAAATATTTCAGCAATTATGTAAAGGTATGTCTCATCGTATGACACCTCGCTAAGTCAATTATAGAGCTATTTGGAGCATGCGGTGCATCGAAAATACGTGCGTAGCAAATAGGTGTTAATGCTATTAACAGATAGATTGCGGATACAAATTCAATACAAATATTTATTACTATTTTATTATCTTAATGCATACCCACAGTCCAGATCACACACAGTCGTAACACACGCAAGCAGTAAACGTAGCCTATCCAACGTGTTCACCTGTGTGGTTATCGCTAACCGTATACGATCCTCGAATTGATTTACGACAGATGTCGTTACTTTGCTTTATTAACCATTCATCAAAGTTTAACGAGCAATAATCATGGCAGACGCGCGCTTGTTAAAATTGTTGCCGCCGTCTAAGTATCGAACCGACATGAACATTTAACATCCTCGAGTGATCCGATAAATGGAATGAAGCCTGGCGACGCTATTTATTTAATTGACTGGGACGGACTGGGGTTTGGAGTCATGATGTACCGTATATAACGTCTGTACTGCACAAAAAAGTTAAGTACCTATTATGCCATTCATAAGATTACAAAAAAATTACAAAACATGTAGGTCGCTACAATGTTTACTCAAGCAGTTTCATCTTTAATAATATGCAAGTACGGTATAGGCAGGTTTTCTAGTCGTTGCCAATAGCACCTTGTAAACAAGAAAAAGATTTGCATAATAGTATGTTCGAAGCGTATCATCGTGCATTAAAAGCACTTAACAAAACGTTGCCTCTAAACAGATATTATCTGCACTTCCTCGTATCGATGGGGTCAACGGATCATAACTGTTGCTCAAAAGGGTGGCATTGAGAACCGGTCTGTTTGCAGAATGTTCGGGTCGAGCGGCGCGTGCGCGGCGTGCGGCCAAGCCATCCCCGCCAGCGAGTTCGTGATGCGGACCAGCGCGCCGCAGCAGCCGTTACACGTCTTCCACATAAAGTGCTTCGCATGTTCTAAGTGCGGATCACACCTCATGCAAGGCGACAGGTAACTATTGAATTCCTTATTATTTTAAAACATAATTTTAACAAAAAAAATCGCTTATAAGGATTAGTAATAATGGTCATAAATCAATTTCAATAAAACAATTGTTGTTCAAAAAGATTAAAAGTAAAGGAAGATATTATCTTGGATGATTACACAAGGCTTACATATAATGTTTTTATTGGAGATAATTAAAAGTTCAAAAATTAAAAAAAAATAGATGAAATCCTAAAATAAAGCGCCAGTACCCCCTGGTACGGACTACCAAATTTGAGGTCGAGGATCCGAATCCTGCCATTCGATTATTGTCGTGAACCATATCCTAGCACAAGAGCTTAGTCGGTATAATGAAAGGAAATATTAGTAAATTAACAAAAAACTACTATTAAAATAAAAGTGTAGGTGTATAACAAATAGTGTATTATAGGTACTACATGCTGGCGGGGTCGCTGGTGTGTGAGCAGGATTGGCAGAAGCTGATGAAGAGCGCAAGCGCCGCGCCCGGCCCCGGCGCGCCACTGCGCAAGGGCAAGGTGGGCCGGCCGCGCCGCTCACGAGAATGAGCACAGACACACTCGCAGCGGGACTATGAAAAGGTAAGCAGTAAACCAAATTTGGTAATTCAATGTTAAGGAACCTCTAAGAATACACAATAAAAATATTTTAATTGAAAGTTAACAGCAGAAGAACTTTGAAATGATATCTACCTGTTTATGCCTAAACGACTTTCAAATATTTTATCTATCAAATTGTTTATCGGTTTGCCATTAAGCTGTTGGCTTGTAAAAGAATATTAATACTCAACTATCTATCGATTAAAGCAATTAAAATAACCACGACATGTAAAGTTGGTATATTGTTTTAAATCGCGTGTAAGTGAGGTCTTGCTCGCGAGTGAGGCGAGGCGAGGCGCATGTGTGGTGGGCGGGCTGGATGACCTTTGCTGGCATTATTAACACTCGCGTGTCGTGACCGAGCCGCGATTGCGTTGGGAAATACCTTAATTAATAAAGCTAATTATCACCTAACAGCTGCCTTCGAGAATCACTTTGATTAATACTTAAACCTCACTTACACACATCCTACTCAACACTTGATACCTATCTGTGTACCACACAATACATTAGCTACTTAACTATAGATGGTTATCTAACTTCCTTGTAAATTGAACTTGAACAATGCTTAGATGTACTAAATTGCGATAAAAGTTACTTTGTTCTGCATCATGTTCATTATTCGTTACGGTGTTCAGACTTCTGGGAAATAACACTGATATTTTTATATTTACGACTTTAAAATATTCATTTGATTTTACATGTGCTTTGTTAAAAATAACACCAAAGAAGCGCAATATAATGTTGAAAGTAAAACTAGAAAGTATAGAAGAAAAAATTAAAGAAGTACTAAGATAAGATTAGACTCGATATATTTTGCACAAAATGTGTTCTAAACGTGGCTAGAAGTAGATTTTATTAACCACTAGCTTTTGTCCGCAACTCCGTCCGCGTGGAATTAAAAAAAAAACTAAAGTGGAAAGCCTATGTGTTCTTCCAGACTATCATCTACATTTATACCAATTTTAATCGAAATTCGTTCAGCCGTTTAGGCTACAAACTCTAACAAACATCCATCCTTCTAAACTTTCGCATTTATAATATTAGTATGGTTTCTATCTAAAGACTTTATTTTGTTGATTCATTACAACAACTCAAACGTTATTTAAATACTTCAAAAATCTCATTACACCCGCAACAATATTATTAAAACGAACCACCCTGCAAATGGTAGCATAAATAACTTGATAAAAACAGATCGGTACGTGCAATGGAAACTAATTTCCAGCCGATTACAGTTTAATTAACCGGAGATGGCCAGTTATGGCGTATATATCGAGTAATCCGCCATTGTCAACTATGCAGCGATAAAAGTAACGCACCTCGTAAAGCGGCTGGAGGGAATAAAAACAGAACGATGTTTCCAATCACCTTTAAATTACCTTCAGCGGCTGAGCCACTATGTTGACTCGATGTCTGTTCATTTAACTACAAGTTTTTGTCGTACATTTCAAAACAATCAAATGAAATTGCCATATTTCTCAATTTTATACTATGTTGAATAAATGCATTGACCAGAAGATTTCCATGTCTGTATCACATTTTAAATCCAAGAAACTTCTCACACGAGATGAAATAGAAAAGATATGTCACACAGTTTTTAATTTGTTTTTATTTCAACAAGCACTTTACTTGTTGAAAGTTAATAATAAAACGTAAGAAATACAACTTAATGCGCTTTCAACGCTCCATTAAGTGAGGCCGGAGTTAGATCCGGTTATAATATTAACTGGACACGACGAAAGTCTCGCCACAAATAATGCCATTGCACGAAACTGAATTATTTAAAGCAATTACAATTAAATTTGATACACATTCTTTTGGGAGTCTACTAAAGTTCCTCTTACGACAATATTGACATCATTTTAATTCTCTTAAAATAAACATAATTGTTTGTACATAAGTATTAATGTATCAATATAGTCAAGGGAAACACGAGTATAGTCTTAATTAGATGAAAGTTATACAACCTCAATGAAGATACCAAGTAAATACTGTGTTGTTTTCAAAGAATATTATTTAACTTGTATTTCGGACGTTGACGGCGCGACGTGTACCTAATAGTTAAAAATTCAAGAAGCATGGGCGAAACAAAGGAAGGAAGATGTAAACGGCAGCTCTGGCGGACCATTTGCTTTCACTAAATGCACTACCAGGATTACTGGACTATTGGAAATGGCGGCCTGCAAACCTTACTACGAAATTAATGTACTCGAATTTTTATATGTTCATATGACATTTTGTTATAAAGTAGCATTTTAAATAAATATATTCACGTATTTTTTAAAAAAGACTAAAAAATAAATTAACACTTTTGTTATTTATTTGTATTATCATATACTAATGTTTTCGCTGGATTAAAAGATAATTAAAGATAAATAATAATTCAAGTAAAAGAATGTCTCGCACCGCACAGACAAGTGCGAAGAAATGCAATTAAACTGTTCATTGAACACCGCACAAAGCACGCTTTATTTTTTGCACAACGCACTCGCACGGAACGCGCATACTACGGACACTACGACGTACTAAGTTTTATTTACTTATACTAAAAACATTTCAGAGTCTTGTTCTAAGGTTCGCAAACAAGAGTTAATGATATTTATTAGCCATTGCAAGCAAATTTCTAATTGCAGTCCTTGTCGTGTAGCAAGATAGTTCATAGAGTTAATTATCTCGTAGAGGCGACCAGCGTCCGACCGCCGCGGGCGCCCTGTCTTCACTCGACGCTAGATTCGCTCACGGCGTTCTCACAAAATGCACTGTTAACCAATTCCAAAGTTTAAACACTCCGAAACTTATTTCGGCAACTCATAAAACTATCTTTCAGTCTTGCTAATGAACGACTATTGTAACTTTGTAAACATATGATGCGTACATGCAACATCGGCAAAATGCGATTATTCGGCACCAGTATACAAAGGGTCAATTACAGGCGAGTCTTTAACGAAACTACGCATTTAATAACAAAGAGCGGGCTTTCACCCGCCGTGACCGTGGTCAAAGGCGCGATGTTAATTGGAAAACACCTGAAAACGACAGCGCCTTTATGCGCGTACGTTTGGCGTAAAAATCAAGTGCGCGCGGCCACGGGCCAAAACACCGCCCGGCGGCTTTGTAACACGATTACGCCGACTTGTCGAAAGTTAATTAAATAACGTTTTTCCAAATTACCTACCGGGCCAAACATCAAAGTGCCCTCGCTCCCGCTTTGGGAATCTTTACACAAAGGCTTGGCTGCGGGCGAGGTCCGGCGCCCTATGATCTGCCGCTGCGCCGGACAGGTGAACCGCTCAACTCTGTC